CCCCACTCCAGCCCCCACTCCAGCCCTGCTCAGAGGCTCTGGGGGCTCAGCACTGCCCTCAGATCAGCCCCGACAGAGGAAAGGCTCGGCCGAGACATCTGCCACGGGGAGGCGGCTGGCAAACCAGTGCTCAGGGCCTGTCCTCCCACACAGATCCAACTCAGAATCCAGGCCTCGCCCGCTGCTCACTGCCATGGGGACTTTGCCCTGGAGCACTCTACCACGCCTGGACTCCTGCTCCAAGATCTTCGGATGGAAATCCTTGTGTCCCCTCTAACCCCTGCCCGCCCGGCCTGGCTTGTCCCTAGAAGGACGATATTCTGTTCTTTCCCATCCCAGGAGACCCTCTAGTTGATTCACAAAAGTGGAAATCATAGTAGAAAAGAAGAGAGAATCATCTTCTGGTGGGTCTCGGCCAAGGGTTTCTTACCTTCCTGGTGTTTCTCCGTTTCCCAGGTGGTCATAAGCATGGGTTACTCTGGAGGTAGGGAAGGAACACGAGGAAGAGCCCCAGTCCACGCAGGAAGGCGAGAATGGTACCAATCGCCCAGGAAGTGGAGCTGAAGATCTCCTAGGTAGCAATAACGCTTTTTCAGGAACATGATTGTCCATGTGTGAAATACAGTGCTGCCCTCAGGCAACTGAGCTCTGGGAATGGCTTGGAGATTATTACCCTAGGCCCCCATCATGAATCTGTGGGCTCCTGAGGGCTCTGGAGGGGACAGAAGGGGAGCAGGCCTGAGCACGGCCCCTCCGCCGCCATCCTGCCTACAACTCCATTCCCCCACTCCTCTGGGCCTTCTGGGCTTTAGTCCATTTTCTGTTCCTTCCACCTGGAAGCCTGGTGTGACCTGGTTCCTTGTATCTCATGGAGATCTTGGTTTGAACCCACTAATTTCATAGCCTCTGAAAGTCTAAAGTTCTCCCCGGAATTTGGGCTATTTCCCAGGGATTTATACTCTCATAGTCTCCTCTGTCCTCAACTCCAGTTGTTTTTTCACTTCACATATATACGTTTTGTGTGTATGAGAACAAGACAAAGACATGAGTAGAAGCTTGGAACTTTTAGGCCCACCCCTATTCTCTTGACAAGGGAAAAGGGCTGAAAATGAGGTTCATATTGAACGTGCCTACATAAGGAAGCCTCCACAAAATCTCAAAAGTACAGAGGTCAGGGAGCTTCCAGGTGGGTGACAACATCCACGTTACAGGAGCGTGACACACCCCAACATCATGGGAGACAGAAGCTTCTGTGCTTGGGACCATCCCAGACCTGGCCCTTTGAAACTCTTCATCTGGATGTTCTTCTGTATCCTTTATCACATCCTTTAATAAACTGGTAAAAGTAAGTAAGTGTTTCCCTGAATTCTGTTGAGCTGCTCTAGCAAATTAATGGAACCCGAGGAGTGGTCGTGGGAACCTCTGGTTTGTAACGAAGTCAGAAGTTGTGGGTAACCTACTATTTGTGATTTGCATCTGAAGTGGGGTGGGAGCAGTCTTGTGAGACTGAGCCCTTAACCTGTGGGATCTGACACTATAGTGCCAGAATTGAGTTAAACTGTAGGACACCCAGCTAGTGTTGTGCAGAATTGCTTGGTGTGGGGAAAACACCCCACACATTTGGTGACCATGTCAGAAGTGAAGTATTCTGTGTAAAAGTAAAGGAGAAACACACAGGAGGTGGAGAACTGAGGTTTTCCCTACTCAGGAGGGAAAGACTGCATTTTTCTAACACTGACTCCCACCAGGCAGCTGCCATGCCGGGAGGTGAGCTCTGTGTGAGAGAACAGGAACTAGAGAGCAGAGAGAGCTGGCCACATTAGCTCCACAGTTAGGTAAAAGATTTCTTTGAGGACCTGTGCCTCTTCTAAACCTGCGC